GAGTCTCTCTTTCAAACCACTTGTCTGACTTTCATCTTGTAAGTGCTATTAGGGTACACGATTTCTATGCATATGCATCTGTGTGATAAAGCTGGCTATCCATTATCTAGCACCTCAGTGTAAACATCAAATTCTTTCCAGCTTTCCAGCTATTTTTGTCTGGCATCCTTTATTAAAAATTACTTTCTAATTTGTTAAGTAGCCACTGAAACCTCTCTATCCAAAGACTTCTACTTCTTGTGGTATTCCTGGACTTTTCCGCAGTCCTTGATCAAATCATGACCTCCGCTCACTCTCATATCTCAAGATCTACAGAGTCTGCCCTTCCTTCAATATGAATTCCTTACACCAGCCTGTAACCTTTTTATTGGACTATGCTCACTTGCAGGCACACTTTCAGAACTCATTCTGAAGTTGTTGCTTTTCCAACACCTTTACCTCATTTTGACAATGCACGGATTGTATCCTCTGCCCCTTATCTTGTACACTGAACTAATGTGTCTATTTGCTGGTGGCTTTCCCTACTCTCCTTGCAATGGTGGCATCATTTCATTCACTGGTCCCTTCTGCAAGTATGTGACTCAAGTACCAACTTTTTGTAGTTACCATCTGGAACAGATAATATCACTCCTGTTATGATCAAGATGGGAAGAGTGACCTGTCTCTCTAGACACACTACAACCAGAGATTCCAGCATAAATTTATTATCTTTAACCAGTTCTGGTATGGCCAATGGTAGATTTTTTTCTATGTCAGAATTAGAATAAAACGATCTATGAACCAGTATTCGTTACTAATTGCAAAATTATTGATTTCCCATTAAACAAACAATGACGATAGAGATCTGGTTAACACACACATTTTGTAATATGCACATATAAATATTTGCCCCTCCAAATAACCTCCCCTCAAAGCCATACACACCACAAAAGGGAATTAAAAGAATTGCTCTCTGCTGAAATTCACAATAGAAACCTTTGGCCAATAATGGTTAGTTATTAAAAGGAAGTAAAAGAACAAAGATGTGGAAGTTTTTCTGATTGCTGTCAATCTGGTGTTCTGGCATGCACAGTTAGGTCCCTAGACATGTGCAGTTGAATTAGGGGTTTTGGCAGATGTGACTGCTCAAGAAATTACAATCTTAAGGAGTTTTCCTTATGCTTTTCTCTCAGACTATTAAATTTCATACTGGACTCAGCACAAGGGTATTTCAGAAAGACAGGGTGCCAAGAGAAGATTCAGCAAGCATTACAGCATTGTGCAAGGCCATCAGAAATAAATTTGGGAACTAAATTTAGGAATTTGGTATATTACAAAAGGGAATGGACTAAGATGGTCTCAAAATGTTTGTAGCAGTTAATCCCCCATTTCCTGTATCACTTCTGAATATCCCATTTTTCTCTAAATATAAACTGCTAGAAATTAACATTTTCCCAGAATTGTTTATGAGGATTCCAGCATCTGATCGAAAATTAAGTTTCTTTCTGAAAATATAACTCCAGTTAATACTAGGAGTCTATCCATATTCTACAACTTAGCACAACCTTGTATTTAAAGGCAAACACTGAATAAGGAATCTCAAGTGGAGTTTTTTGAAATCTTGCATATAGTCTGCTAAATTCTATTACATATTTTTCCATAGAATATTCACATTGTTTTCTAAATTGATTAAAGCCTGACCATGCCTCATTTGCATTTAAAAGGTTATCTCTATTAAAAATTTTGCCCTTCATATGTTTGTAGCATACAAAATTTTCCTGAGCGTCCAATTGTTGAACCTTTAGCTCATAGCATACCTTATACCTGATTTTGTTTCTGGGTGAAAGTGTCAGTGCCCAAGCCAAACCCTTTTTCTTCCTCTTGGTAAAGACATAACGTGTGTCCACATATCCACTTCATTTTTCCATTGATCATAAGGTTCAACTTCACAAAACATCGGTTAGAAGTCATATCCTAGCTCTTTGTAATTACTTTCAACCTTTTTCTCCAAAGTAACTCCTATTTCAATCTTTTGTCTGAAAAAGAACTTAGTTTCCAATCCTTGCTTTTCATCACCCGACTCCATTATTTACCAAAGTTAGTAGGTTCCAAGCCAATTGGAAAGACTGAAACATTTTTTATTTTTGGACAAAGTTCCTTGCCTTTGTCAATTATTCACCTCTCATTCAAGACCTCATGTTACAGGTGGTCTCTCTATTTATGTGCAGTCAAACAATTAATAGCTACCATGTGTGTCTTCACCTCAAATAAAGACATTAACAAACTTAGCATTGTGATTAACCAGACATTAACAGACTGACAACTGATGTTGCTCAGTATGTACGGAATGATAAGTAAAGCCAATTTGATGTGAGTTAATACACAGACAACATATGATTTCAGGAGTATGGAAGGTAGAATGAGGGAGATCAATTTAGATGGCATTTGAATAGTTAAATCTGGAGATAACAAAAGCATGAATGAGGGTTTCAGCAGAAAATGAACTGCGTTAGGGTGAAGTTCAACAATGTCATTGTGGTGGGAATAGGCAGTTTTAATAATAGCACAAATATATATTTTGAAGCTCATCTTAGGGTGAAGTTGTGAACAGGCTGATTTAGTCTTAGACTAAGGGATGAATTCAGTAGCTAGGAAACAGAATTTGGAACGGAGACCAAAATAATCACTTCAGTCTTCATGATATTCTTTTGGAGGAAGTTTTTATTCATTCAGTACTGGATGTCAGATAAACAATCTGTTCGTGTAACAGCAGTAGCAGAGTCAAGAGAGGTAGCGGTGATGTAAAACTGAGTGTCACTAGTACATGAGTGAAAACTGATGTTACTGTTCCAGATGGTGTCATCAAGTGGCAGCAAGTAGATGAGAAATAGAAGGAAGACTAGGATGGATCTTTGGCAGACACAAGGCAATGGTGTACAGCAAGAAGCAAATCAATTACAAGTGACATTCTGGCTATGACTAAATAGATAAGAATGGAACCAAATGAGAACTGTTCCACTTAACTGGATGTCAGTGGAAGTGTTTGGAAAAGACTGATATAGCCGATTGTATTAAAGGCTACAGACAAGTTGAGAAGAATGAGAAGAAAAAGTAAGTAATCACACAAGATGCAAAAAATTAAGTAAATGAAATAAGGCAGGAAAAGCTGAACCAAGTTGGAACAGTTAGGAGAAATGATTTGAAAGATACATTTGGCAACATTTTCTCAAGTTGAGAGACAATGAACAGTCAAAAGGATCTAGGGAAGGAGTTCCACAAATTGGAGTTGAGAAAGGTGAAATTTACAACACTGAAGGGGAAAGGTTTACACAAGCCAAAGTTGGGATAACCAAGTGCTTTTGAAGGAAATACAGTAATAAATTATTTTGGGATGATGTCAAGGAGAGACCTGTAGGCAAGGATAAAGATTTAAAAAAATATATTTTAACATGTGGACAGTGAGAACGAGGTGATAGGCAAAAGGGAGGAAACATTCTGTTAATGTAGAACAGGGTAGTGATTGATATTCTGAGGATAGTCTAACAAGGTGGTGGGAGAGGCATTAAGGAAATGTAACCCTAAGAAGCCAAGCAGGATGGAAGTCGGATTGAAGAGATAGAAAATGAAGTTATAGGTATATATGCATGAAGTTAGAGGTGGCAACATATTAGAGAACTTTAGAGTCAGAAATGAGATTAAAGTTGACATAATTGTTAGAGAGAATGGTGGTTAATATTTGACTTTATGAGAGGAAAAATGATGATCATGATTTTGTAAACAAGAAGGTGGCACCAGATTAAAAAGGAGCTATTATATTGTTTGCAAGTATGAGGTCAAGGAGGAAGAAAATGATAATTTTAAATGTAAGGTCAAGAGTTAAATTGGATGTGTTCTAAAGCTGTAACAAAAGTAAATGGTTCTAATGATATCAGACATGAAGATAGCAAAATATGGCCTGAAATAAGTTGGCAAAACTGCGAGACGTTTCAAGCCCATGATGCTCATTTTGATATATTTTCAAACTTACTCAGGTGGATGGGTACATTTTCAAAACAAATGTTGGGCAGTACATTCTGTGTGTGTCACCTTATGATTTGCGTTGACCTTTCCTTCATGTTAGTTGTTTTTTGTACGCAAGTTTATTTCAGCAAGGAACATATAAACTCTCAAGTGATTTCGAAAGGGAATGGGAATTGGGAGAGGCCACACAGTTATTGATTAAAATAACGTACAACTGTAAATGTCGTGATATCAAGGGGCAGTTTTATCCAAAATAGAAACAGAAATTGCTGGAAAAGCGCAGCACATCTGCAGCACCTGTGCAGAGAAATCAGAGTTAATGTTTCGGGTCCAGTGACCCTTCCTCAGAGCAGGCATTTTACTGTGTGTGTCTCCGATGGTATTTTCTCTGTTGGGTGTATTAGATACCTTTTTAATTCTACGGAACTTAACTGTATAAACTAAGAATTTTTTTCCCCTGTTAATTTCAGTCTGTTCGAGTTATGCACTATTTCAAATGAGTATGTTAAAAAAAACTTTCAGTATCCCCGTTGGTGCTTTGAGAGTTTGTACAATTCCTCCTGTACAATCAATAATTTTGCTGACAGATTGTCCCTTTGTTCTGAGCCGCCTCCCTCCGGGTGCTACAAGATAGCGGAGGGCCATATACCAGAACCCATTCTTCCAGGGATACAGGTTGTGACCTGCGTTTTAAGGATAGCGATCTCCTATTGCATGACGTTAATTTATTGTTTCTTGAGAAGATTTTGTCTAACAAAAGAAGGCTTTCCCACCGAAGTCTACGTGCCATTGAGAACGGTGTATTTCTTTTGGTGGATTGCCCCAAATTCAGGTCTTCGAAAGGAGGCTCCGGGCGTATTTCCGGTGGCCTGGAGGCAATGAGAGAGAGTAGATGAGCTGAAACATCCTGTTACTGTCCAGTCGCATCCACTGATCCTGCAGACAGTACAACGAGCGCTTGAACGGGATGGTAACGTTATAGACTGCCAGCTCTCAACGCAATGGCTGTGGACGGTAAGTCAAGCACAAAGAAAGGACGCAGGGTCTTTCAACGGATAATGCAGTTTGTATTTTCCTTTGCCTAAGGAATCGTAGCAGATACATGAGGATGAGAGTCGCTGTCATCTCTCAGATACAATGCATCTCAGTCCTTATCGTCTCATTATTGTGCGGCTTGATGTTGATTTTATTTTTGTTGGTGGACAGATCGTGTATTCGTATTATTTGGAGACTAAAGTGCCCAGCTGTTTCCAGCAGATGCCGGACTTGATTCATCAGGTCCCCATAGTTTCAACGTTAGTAAAATCTGTAGATAAATCCTGTAGCAATAAGTGATTGTCCGGACAGGGTGTCAAAAATTTTCTTATACTCTGGTCGTCTCGTCTTCTATTGTTTTCTATACCTGTAAATCTTTTTATCCTGGGTCCCTTATTTTTTTCACGTTTATATGTGGACACTGAGCCTGTTGTAATTTATTGGGACAAATATTACATTAACATAGTGGTTAACATCAAGAGAAGGTTAATTGTAATCTCATCTGCCTCTGTTTAAGGTTTTGTTTAGTCAATGCGATCTACCACGTTTATTCATCGACACACTTCCATTTGTTAATTTATTTATGACTTGTAATGTTTGATCTTAACTGAGTCGCGCGACAGTATACAGCAAAAGCTAACCGGATAAACTCCGATTGCTATTATTGCAACCATTTGTACCAAAAAAACACTCGCACTACCTCCCCACTCCGCGATCAGAAAGAGAAAAATCTAGGGAGAAATCAACAAGGTACCAAACTGATTGTGAACCTGTGGAAATTTACTTGTTTGGGACCTGGTTTCACTCAGCCCGTCTCCAGAATGAAAAATGACGTGAGATATCCAGAACCTTGGCTGGTCTATTAAAATGCTTCGGGGAGCTGAAATAAATGGAATATTGAAGTTGTACACATTTCAAGCCGAACTTGCCGGCTTTCACGTTGTTGGAAGCTTGTAAGCCTGAATATTGCTGTACAAAACGGTTGTAATTTTAAAAAAATGCATTGTTGCCCATCAATCTTTGCTTTTCAGTATTAAGAATCAACAAATCAATTATCTTAGTTGCTCTGATATTTTAGGGCTTTGAATGTATTCAACACCTTAGATGATGTTCAGTTAAATAATTTTCAATATGCATCACACTGAGAATCTAGAATTTATAAATATGAATGTAATCCACTTTGCATACATTTATTTGCAATGACCAATTGGGAAGATTTTCCTTTATGTTGCACCATTTTCTTCAGAATATGTTTCCGATAACTTTTATGTAAAACTTGCTGTCTAGCTTGCTGCCAAATGATAACATGTTATTACATCTTCATGGATTAATGTTTATACTTGTAAAGTTATTCTAGAATTATGGAGAGAATGTCTAGTTCACTGATGCAATCCTTATAACATCTCTCAGCAAATAAACTGATTATTCCACAGGGGAAAGACTAGTCTACAATATATCAGCTCATATATCCTTTCAATCTATCCCAAGACATCAATGGTGACTTTGTAATGTTCGGATGAGTGAATGGATAAATGATGAATTCCACATGAAGCATATATAACAGTTAATGAGGTATCCAAGTTATGTTATTCATCATAATATTGATATGCTATTTTAAAAAAATTGAATTTTTCAAGTCATTATACTTAAAGAAAATGAAAGAGTGAAGCATAATTGAAATCAATTCCGGGACTATACTTTTTCTAATCTGTCGGTATTGTTGACAAATGGATGCATGAATATTGTCCCCTGTCAGTTGAAAACATACAGTAGTCATTAAAGTTAACTTTCTAAATTATAACATTGAAAAATTTGCACTTTAAATTTTAAGAAAATAACATTTACATATAGTGTATCTTTAGATTTGGAGTAAAATCCTTAACAACCCGAGTAAATCGCCATGTTGTAACATCTAACAAAATCATTTGACATCTTAGTATTCATAAACAAAGGCTGTAAATTAGTCTGATGCAATATGCAGGAATTACCAAAGAAATGTGAACTTGCTGCATGGATTTCCTGAAGTAGAAGTTGTGATTTGACTGTAAAGGTGCTGGTTGGGTTCTCATCATTAATTGCTGAGTACAGACTGCTGTCTGGATTCAAAGCTGGGGCAAATGTCTATGTAGTGAATTTTATTCAATACTGCAAATGCTGATACACAGCAGAATGTAAATGTAACCAGTGAAGACTAAAAGATGTGCATGGTAGCCCAATCCAGTTGCATGGATATCCTTACCTTAAATTCTGATGATGGGTAGCTTTAGGTGATATTATGACAGGTGCCATTCAGGAATGCATGTGAATTAAAGCATTTTGAAAAGTGAAACTACAATTTTGATTTTAGTCATAGAAAACAGTTATGTGAGATATTTGTCTGCATTATTAAAAAAAAAACAAAAAACAAAAGGAAGAGTGATGGTAAATTTGTTGGTGTCTATGGGTACAGGTAAATCCAAAATCTGAACAGATGCTTAGCACATATTCCAATAAAAGACAATGTTCCTGACACACTTAAAACCTCCATTTCTGTCACCAGTTCAGTAAGTTGAAAGATTAACAAAAGCTAATACTTCAGTTGTTATTCCTTCTGAGCAAGTCTAAACTAAATAGTGCTAACAAACTATTTGTTTCTTTGTAAATTTTTTTTTTCAATTTCTTAAATAGATAGCATATATGTGCTATTAATGGACAGATTGCTGATCTATGTCCTGAAAACTATTAAAAACCATTTTAGAAAAGGAGAATAAAATTTCCTATCATTTCCATTAAAATGTGATATGAATATCAAAGGTAGACTTGATACTGCAGTTTTAACATTTGAATGACAGAACTCTGTGTCATATTCATAAATATATATTTATTCACAAAATAAACTGCATACTTTCCTCAGGAATAAGGGATAGAATTCAATGTCCAGTGACCAACAAAAATTGCCCAGATAAAAGAAATATTAAACAATGTATGAATACTAAAAAAAAATGATTATGCAAATCAACTAGAAGTAATGGAACAGGAGAAGAGAGATGAATTTTCTCAGCTTGATTGAACTTAATCACCATAAAATGAAAACACACTTTGTATGTTTGAGAATGTGAACTGGCTAGTCTTTTAAATTTGCTTCCTGAGAGCTTTCTCATTCACATTTAGAGGAAGTTATAGAGTCATTGAATCATACAGCATGGAAACAGACGCTTCGGTCCAACTAGTCCACGCCAACCATGTTCCCAAACTAAACTAGTCCCACCTGCCTGCATTTGGACCATATCCCTCCAAATCTTTCCTATTCATGTCCTTATCCAAATGTCTTTTGTTATAAAGTGCAGGTTGAACCCCCTCTGAGAACGAAAAACAAAACACCCAAAGAGGAGAACTTTGCCCTATAATCTGTAAAAGGAGTGTGTAAAGTGGTGTAACCTGCCTTTCAGCGATTTCTGGTGGTTAAATAAAATAAACCCCTGATGCTCATATTACAATCAACAGATAAAAATTTATTTATCTAACGCTAACAGTGAAAAAATTAACTAAACTATTAACAAACTGAATAAATCCCTTCTAAATGCTAACAATTTCCGAATAAAACAAGGTTCTAATGATATGCTGTTCCAATAAATATGAGTCCCATTTATTTAGTCCAATGAAATAACAGCCAGGTTATGTGTCTTCCGGAATGTTCTGTGCCTTCTCTGTCAATTCTTCTGTAGGAAGGCCTTGTCTGTCGATTCTTCGGTCAGGAATATTCACTTGTTGTACTGTGGGTACCTTTGTTATTTAGATGGTGCTTTCTCTAAGACATATAGGAGTCTGTGAGAGCCTGCTATTCTCTCTTGAGAGTTGAGGGCTGTTAACTTTGGCAGATGGCAGTTACTCTCCCTTTTCTTTGTCTAATTTCCCCCTTCTTTTATATCCTTGATGACATATCAATTTCTTATAATAGGATTGGTCCTATGTTGTCAAAGCCATCAGATTTAAATTTAATTGGTTTTTGGTTTCTAAGTGCCTGGTTCAAATTGATTGGCTAAATTCAAAACTTATTTTCTTGGTAAAAACTGCTGCTTGGCCTACTAACTATATGGCTTTTTGATCCAAATGTTTCAATTTGGGTGCTCTCTGTGTACTTGCAGACTTTCAAACTACTGGTCACAGACATCCTTTTTAAATCTCGAAGCAAGAAAAAGCATATCATCATTTAAAGGGACCATGCAATGCTTCCCCCCACCCACCCCGAGCATTTTAGAAACACCAAATTCTAACTTCCTGCCACCCAGTCCACAAGTACTTTATTCAACTTTGCAACACTTTTAAACATTGTAACCCTATTTATATCCACCACTTCCTCTAGCAGTTCAATCCACATGCTAGTCTCTCTCTGTGTAAAAAGTTGCCCCTCTTAAGTTGTCTAAAAAAAAACAGGTAGGTATTATCATGCATGCTAAGTTCCTCGGACAGTACGGTCTGAACATTCACTCACAATATCATTTAAACTGCAGTTACTGGTCTCAGATTGTGGAATACAAACAAGCAGTATGCTATTTATACTGTTCAGCTGCATGTCCAATTGTTTTGTCCAGCAGTATGCAACATGCTCCTCTTCTAGCAACTAAATATTAATGCAAACAGGCAAGACATTCTTTTTTACATCAGCTGTGGTCGAACAGTTCCTCTATCACAAGTCAACTTTGACACTGCTCTGGAGATATACTCTATGAAGTGTCCAGTTCAAGTCCTATGAATTTTAATTTCCCCATTTCCCACTGTCTCCCAGCAATTCTCACACTATTTCTCTTTATAATCAGGATAGATCTTGACTTTAGATTAATGTTGCAAGTACAATTCCTGTGTGAAGAAGACACTTTTTGTCACTATGCTAAACCCATCAGTGCTAACAATACCTTAAATACAGTCGTTCAAGTTGCTCTTCAGTAAATACATAAACTTGCATATTGGAAAATTATCTTAATTGCAGACTTTGGATTGCT